GTGTAGATCTCCGGCCCCGGACAGATCCCCGTGACTGCTTTAAACAAAAGGATCCAGAAGAACGGAATAGTCTCTTCCTACTGACAGCATTGAGTGTACAACTCAGAGTATCTGTGAGAAGTCCAATTAACGTCAGTGTCACAGTCAATTCGGCTGTTTCATCACTCTAACCTGCTTTTTGCACTTCTATATTGTATTGTTACCAAACGTTGGGAAGATGCAATACTAATAATCTCTTTTATGTGCGTGGTTTTTCTCACATTAATATTTTTCACATTTATAAGTGTAATATTTTCTTAATTTTTAATGTCATTCTGTGAGCATTATATTTCCCCCAAACTCCCAAAGCTTTCATTTGATATATTATTATTATTATTATTTTCTTTATTTAAAAAATATCAATAAGGTGAGTGTTTGGAAAGCTAAGATCATCCATTATTAATGGGCCGTCCTCTTTTGTACCTCATATGGACTGCTGTGAGCCACTGGTTCCAAATCCCAAAAGGCCATATATTTGTTTTACTTATACAGTCCATCCAGTATAATAGCTGATGATTCTAACAGCGCAGAGAGAGACACTTCTCTGATGTCCACGCAGTGAATAAAGGGGTGGAAAAAAACAGACAGAAGCACAAGATAGATTATATTTAGCATATATTATAGTCAAGTCATTTTTGCGTTGGCGTTTTCAGTTGCTCGTTTAGATTTTTTAGGTTTTGTTTTTACTCTAAGAATTCATAAAGCACTCTTAATTGGCGCTCTGAACTTAATTGGCGAGACAGTATTCATTTCGAGCCCTAGAGAGCTGGGGACCTCAGGAACAAACCAGTGGGAGACAAATTCATACAGCCCCCACGTGACTCGTGTTTTAACAAAATAGGCATGATATAGGTCGACGCAAAAATCAATTGATTTTTTGAGTTAACATAGCATTGATGCTCCGCAGAGAATTGGATTTATATATTTTTTTAATGCTTTTATATGTTGTATTGTGAAGTCCATATGCTTCACTATAATCACAGCAATGCTTTAACCCAATTAAAAAAAAGAGTTTTGCAGAATAGTAGTAACAAATACTGTTCATTCAATCTTTGTTCGTACAGTATTTGCTTTCGGCTTGCCATTTGCATTATAGCCCATTGAACACGAAGCATGCACAAAATAATAAATAGTGCAAAATATTTTACATTTTGTGCAAAAGTTTTGAAATAATGTACATGGCGCCAAAATAAAAATGCTTAGCCTAAGCAGTGTGTTTATACTAGGTATATTAGGTTTAATATTTACATGTGAAATTTCTGCCAAAACTATTGGAATTGTGTTTGGGTTTAATTACAATTCATAAACAATGTTCTTGTAGCTACACCGTGTCAAAACCAAAATCTTTATTTCGAGAAGTTGCGGGAAGAGCTCGTTAGTTGCTCAAAAAATTGTCATGGGTGCTTGTTTATTCTTCAAAACGCTTCTGCACCCTCCAATAAGACAACCTGAATGTAAGCGTGTTTCCAAGCAGCACAACAGATTAAGGCTGGCATTAACTCTGACACAATATCAGCTTGTGTCTTATAAACAAACACCTGGCTTTTTGACAAGATCATGAGCTTCACAAACATTGCTGGGAAGTGTAACCTTAGGGAACTGTGTATTTTAATTCAGTGCTGTGAACGAAGGAACTAATAAACATTCTTTAAAATGGGCCGTTTATTGTATGTGGCTCATAAATTGTTAATGATGTTGATGTAATCGATCGTCATTAGCTATATAATGTACTTGAAGCACAGGTTCAGCTCACTGAATGAAGAAAAGTCACTGCTGGCTTGTCTCAAACATATGGACCATTCAAATGCTTTAAGGGTAAAATGAGCTTATATGAGGGAATTTAACCCATCGTTTTCTAGCAACTGACCTACCACAGAGTGACATTGTCCAAATTATTCTTGTGAATTCCATCGTTTTTTTTTTTTTTGTATCACACAATATAATAAGAAGGAGGGGAAATGGTCAACAACACAGACATGCAGGAGAAAACAACAGGACTCAGAGATCCCTAGGAAAACACTTTAGGCTACTCACTCAATGAAAAATCATAGAATTCTCCGTTCCAAAAAATACACACTATCTGAGCTGCCATGAGAGAAACAGGTGCAGCTACTGTTTATGTAGTGACAAATATACCAGTCACAATTTACCACAGTCCTGGCAGTCATTGGGGCCCATTAAGCTGATCTGAACTGTGATGATAGTAGTAGCTATAGTAATAGTAATGTAGACAGATAGACTATTAATCAAAGTACCCACGGCATGGAAGGGCAGGCGTTAATATTAAAGTTGTATTGCACAAATATGAAAAGGCATGTTAAGCTCCAAAATCCTTATGCAAATGAAATCCTGTGTAATACCCTTAATTGAATACATGCATATTTATAATGTGCGCTCTCTGTCTAGTATAGGCTACTAATGTTGGCTTATACATTAAACATTTCAGTGCGTGATATCGTGAGGCGTGTGCGAAATATCGTGATTCCGTCAAATCTAAAAACTGCGGTTAAGGACAAAGCACATAACCTCTAACACTTAAACTGCATCTACACTTCTGAGCATATATGTAGTTTGCTTACAGACAGTGTGCGAATTATAGGGGATTTCGGAGGAGCAGACCCCTTTTAAGGTTTGAATAAGGAAAGGGGGCGTCTTAGTAAAAGAAAACATTTTTTTTAAATGCAAACAAATAGCCATTTGTATGTTTCAATAGGGGGTTTCAAACGTTTCATTAACGCTACAAGTACGACTACAAGTTAGTCAGAGCGCATAGCGATTTTCACCTGTCGCGAAATTCGCAAGAGGTTGCGTTTTCGCTAGAGGGAGATCATCATAGCAACAGTAGGCTACACTGCGCACGCGCTTTCCAATAGGATCAATTTGCGTAAGCATGACTTTTTTTGTCACTTTATTGTAGAATTAGATTTACATAATAAAGATAATAATAGTTTTAGTAAGTATTTTAGAAAAAAAACGTTTGTGTTTTGTTTATAAATAAATAAATAATTGACGTTTAGCTAGTTAGTTACACGCCAAATTACAATTTGCATTGCGTGAGACGACATTATGCCCTGAAAACTACCTTTACAGTTAATATATTTAATAATTTAAAATTCCCTTTAAAAAGTCGACCATTTGAAAGTCACAGTATGACTCGTAAATTTTTTATAGCCTAGGCTATTTCCCCTTTTACACAATTATTTATCAGTTTAGTTCACTGTGGTTTTCATGCCACCCTGTTTGGTTTGTCAAACAGCGTCTCTGATTTCATAAACGTCTGCTTTATATTCCTCAGTGCTGTTTCAGTCAGATCTAATAACTGGAGCTCGGTGTTTAATATGGTTTGTACTCAAACACCAGGGAAAGCGAGCGCGTTTTGTCTGCCGCCTTTGTATCTCTCCCCGTGATAATTCTATCTAGCTCTGATCAAACCACTGATATTTCTGTGCTGAGATTTGGGGCTTTCACTACGAACGAATAGAGCAACACTGACCCACTCCCGGTGATCGTTAATCATTTATCCAGAGAGAACAGTGAAAGCTGGGCTGAAAAAATACCGACAGTATATATTTTATATTAGTAAATGACACAATATAAAAATAGCAGATATTTTGAAAGCGAAAATTGAAACCCCAATAAACCTGTTTTAAGTTAACACAACTAAATAGTCTGAATGAAACGATGCATGACTAAAATGGATGTTGTTTTACACACAGAGCATCTGTTGGCTGTCTTGTTTGCGCGTTCTCTCAGCTCTGAATTAAAAGTGGATGGATAGTGCTGTTTCGTGGCCCTTCTTTTAACCTGTTAATGAGTTCAAGGTTTGCCCTTTACCTTCTGTCTGAATCAGATTCTTCCGATGAGGTGTGAGAGCGGAAACCAATAACAACTTCTTCATCATGACACTGCTCTTCTGACAAGACTGATGCTGAGTTCAAGATGGATGAGAGGAACGAGTGTTTATAGCCTAGTGGACTATTGCCAAAATATGATATAGACTACATTATCTGTTCATAGCTATGTTTAGGCTATGTCTCGAGAAAAGCAATTCTATTTTGAAAAATATACACAATTTAATTCTGATTGACTTAATGGAGAAATATCAGAAATGTTAGTATGTAATTTAATATTTATACAGTAGGCCTATATTATTATTATTATTATTATTATTATTATATAGGCTACCCATTTAGTTTAAAAAAAATAATGACTTATGCTTGCCGTAATGTATAAACGCATGAAATAATAGACGTGTATAAGGAGGTCGTCGCTCCAGTTAATTAGACAGTGTTGAGCATTATAGGGGAGCTCTGTATTCCCGTATGTTACAATCATAATGACCAGACGACACTCAATGAATTAAGCATGCAACGGTGAGGTCATGTGCCGAACACCAGCCATGCTTGTTAATTGGTGTTTTTCAGTGCCAGGTGATTTTATTGGCCATGTGTTTGTGTATGTTCTCCCTTTTGTCACTTTGTGTTTTAATTTGAGGAGACATGCTGGTCAGCACATTCCTGACGAATGGAAAAGCCATTAAGTTTCATCCTGTCCTCCTCTTTCTCTCTCTCTCTCTCTCTCTCTCTCTCTCTCTCTCTCCCTGCGACCAAAGATTGTTGCGACTGGTTTCCTCATGTTCTGAAATCTAGGCTTTAAAAGATTGCATTGACACAGTGCATGATTAACGAATAATTTGTCTAAATAAGATTAAGCCGATATATTCAGAGCTTTATTGGCATTTACTGCTAATACAAGGGTTTGCACGCATAGCAAGAGTTCACAATGAAAATGTAGATAATTAATGCACGTAAAAAAAAGAAAAAACGGACCGTTTCATTGGGCATATGTAGTCTATTTTATATCAGAATGAAACTATTGTCTCTTTTAAAATCCATAGACTAATTAGAAGCGAAAGCAGTTTTGAAGTTCTGGTTCATTCCCCAGGTATCGCGATAGTTCAGGTGCGTGTTTACGTCAGTTCGAGGAGCGGGAATCACGATCAGGTGAGTCTCGAAAGCCATTCTAAACATCCAAACTTCAAAAAGCTAGTGTTTTAAACGCTGAGGGCTGGGACACCAAACCAATTAGATGTAGGATATCATGACCATTCTGCTCGTGCCCATTAGCGGCTGCTGTCTCATTATACAGTCACACCATTTGGAATTGATTATAGATTAGCTCGAGAGCGCGACTGCCTTCAACTTCTAATATTAACCTGTCAGTCTGGGGCCAAAAATCAGGAGGAAAGCCGATGATTGGGGAATGTTTCAGAAAGACACTAGCTAATAGCACCTAGCTAATAGGGTGCGTATTAATCAGAGAAAATGTTATGGTAAATAAATGGTGAGGCTTCTGGGCTGGGAACATGTAACACTTAAAGTAAGGTTCATTCATTAATGGATGTGACCAAGGTAAGTATACCGTGAACTTTAAAAAAACATCAATAATCACTTGGAGTCTTATTGATTATTTTTCAACTTAAATATCGCAAAACTAAAGCCAATGTGTTGAGAACTTTTAAGTTTGTTTGTCCAATCATTATTCATGAGGATGAACTGCACACAGAAAGCGCTTTACAAAGCAGCATAAGCTTTTAGCTTGTCGTCTTGTCCCACACTTTTTGGAGAACCTCAGTTTAGACCCGGTGGGGGGAAAAGAGAACATTTCTTTTGTTTGCCTCCGTCCTTTCTCTGACTATTTGTCCCTGTAAGAGCAGTGAGCTTCTTTCCAGCATCTGCAGACTGGATTAGCCAGAGGAGACGGAGCTTGTATTATATCCTGAAGGGGCTTGTACTGTAAAGGTTCACTACAAGTTCCCTTTCCTTGCTTTTCTCCTCCTAAACATACTGCCGACTTGAATGGGAGGATAACTCTTTGTTAACAGGGCAACTATTAACTCACATGGAGTTAATCAGAGTCAGTGGAATGGTGTATGTATTAACATCTGAATGGGCCATAGTCTCCACTCTGGTCTGCTTTATACGGTGGGTCCTCAAAAGGGACAAGGCTTTGCACTTGAAATACTTCCTACTTCCCAGTATTGGTTTGGCCTGGAAGAGAAAGCTGTGTTTAAAAGTAAACACTTACAGAAAAACGCTTCCTGTGCGTGCTAATGTCACCGTTATCCAGGTCCGGGTTGCTGGATCCAAAGTAGATGGATAGTCTTTGATCTTTGACATTCATAAAAAGCTCACATCCAGTCCTAACACGCAGTAAAAAGAGGATTCTGTCTTTAAAATCACAGCCAGTGACTCCGTTTACAACAGCAGCTCTGCTGAGAGGAAATTCTGAGGAGCGCTTTGGATGTCTTTCTAAAAATGGACAGAGCCTTGTTTAATTGCAAAAATATTCTGGAGCATAAATGTGCCCGCGCCCTCCCGCTCCGTTCCTCTCTTTCCTCGCTGACAGCAGTGCTAAGCCCTAACTGGTCAAAGACAATGTGTTCTGTCTTTGTCTGAGCCTTAGGTACACAGATAGCGTTGACCTCTTCATTCAGACCCCTGGCCCGCCGAACAGGAGGAAACACTAATTAACATCTTACAGCTCTCATTTGTTCTCAACACCACTGGAGAAGCAGAGTGTGAAAGCGGCTGTGCGGAGTTGTGCGTGCGTGCGTCTGTGTGTGTGTGGTTACACATAAAGCGAGTAAACAAGTTATCTAGGAGCGTTATAGTGACATGCTATAGTGACTTTGCCATCTTTCTGAAACTTGAGTTTGTTTTAACTCCACTAACATAGCGACGTGCCATTCTTGATATTGACGCCTCGCGTCTTTTTGCAGAAAGCATCTTCCAGAAGCTTGACCCCAGTTCGGCCTCCTGCAGAAGTTGCAGCTCAGGACGTCATGGAGGATTAGATGAGGACGCTAATGTTGTGTAAATTTCCCAAATGTCTATATGGTATCAGCTCCTTTGATTAGCTCGGCATGGTCTATTTGCTAAACCAGTGGCCCCATCCTCTTGAAGGCCTCGCTTATTTGTTCTTGATCATTTTATTGAGTCGCTGGATTGTTGTCGGGGGAAAGTAAAGCTGATGTGGAAACGTGGACTTAGTGGGATTTATCCATGGGAGTGAAAAGGGCCTTTTCTCTGGTTTTGTTGGTTTAAACCTTGTCTTACCACCCACCCACCCCCCTTCCACCAACCAGCCTAAAAGCTTTTGACATCTTCATCTAGTTCACAGTGGGCAGGCTTTGTTTGCTCTTGTCAGGAGAGCGGATGGGGTTTTGCCCCTGTGAGCCTAGTGGCACAAGCGCAGGACTTTGCGTGGACGAAAAGGGAAGGGGGTTGGAGGGGGCGGCTTCTCCGCTCCAGCTCAGGCCAAAAGCGGGGCACTTCCCTCCACCCCCCACCCCCCTTTCAGATCCCCACAATATGGTCATTGTCCGGCGGTGAATAACGTGGCCACTCCGGCGATGTGGGCCGCTTCTCGGGCTTTGACTATGAACCAGATTTCTTTCTTCAGCGTGAAAGAAGTCTAATCCATGTAAATATGGGGATTCTGTAGATAGAGCTTTCGCCGCAGAGGGGAGGAGGAGGAGGGGGGGTTGAGAGGGAGGGTCAGCAATTTAACCTGTGACCTGACAAATAAGGAGCATGAAAGTGCCAGAATTGGCAGACAAAAAGAGGCTCCCGCGGCTGATTGAGTTTTCTTTGTGCCGCTCGGCTGTACGAGGATGACTGACAGATGACATGTTGTGAAGACGAAGACATGCATGACTGCTGAGCGCATCACTGTACATGCAGCACAGAGAGGTGAGGAAACTGCTGATGCGGTTTGTTTTTCTCTCGGATTTAAAGCATTTGATCAAACTTAAAGCGCACAGACGATCTGGCCAAAGTCAAACTATGAACTCAAGAGTCTGTTTTCCCCCAATTCCGTGTATCTTGCACACTTAAAACAGTTTTAGTGTTCTTTGAATATAACGTTCCAGAAACCCTCACAAACACACAACACCCAAATGTCACTTGTAAAACATCAAGGGAATCATAACTTAGCTGGTAAAGACACAAAACACTGCCTTAAGCCCAGACGTGTGATATTGCTACATTTACAATGGTGCATGGAGGAAAACGCCCCCTTCTGCTTTAGAATTTGTTTTAGGTATGTACAGTGTGCAAAATTACGAAAAAAGAGAAGATTTTAATGGCTAAAAAATTATATTTTAATAAAAATAATGAATAAATATATTTAAAATTTAAAAATATATGTAAATATAAATGCATGGATGA